CGGCCTTCTTCAAGATGAGCCCGGGGGACCGGGCCGCGGCAGCCGCGGGGCTAAGGGCGGCGCTGACGCGGGAAATTTACCGGGGGAGGACCCCCTCCCCCCAAGTACACAAAAGACGCACACAGCGACATTTTGTGCGGCTGCCGCTGGCCCGGGCTGCGGCCCGGAGGGAGGGCGCAGGATCCGTTCGCCGAGGTGTACAGACTTCTTAGAACGGCAGGAGCGACAGGACCTGGGCTCTCTCTTGCCTTTCGAGGCCTCTCCGCGCAGCCCCAGCCCCCCAGCCCCCCAGCCCCTGGCTGGGGTTTATTTGGTGGGAAACGGGGCTGGCTGGGAGCCGGGCCGGAGCTCGCCGCTCAACCCCTTCTCTGATCCTTCCAACTCAGTCTAGAGACCCAGGACCCACGAGTAGCTCACCCCAGACCTAGATTCATCCTGCGACCCAGAAACCCCAGATGCAGCTCTTTCCTCGGCCCCTCTCAGGGGCCGCCGAGGGAGCGGGGAGCGGGAGAGGGCATGGCGGAAACAGGCGCCCGTTGCTCCCATCCCCGTGTTATTTGCGCGCCTCGGGGGAGTGCAGCACCCACCTCGCACACAACTCGGAGGAGGGGGACCTGCGGTACCCCCCAGAGAAGGGAACTCCTCCCGGAGGCTTCCCGGCAGGGAAGGGGCAGGTTGCAGAGAGGGCTGTGTAGGTGCTGGAGGCGCTTTCACAGGTCTGGGTTTTAAAAAGCCAAGGCCAAGTCCTCTTGCAAACCCCAGCTGCACTGAGTGCGGGTCTGTGCCCAGCTGGTAACGGACCCCCTGCCCCAAACCCTCCAGTGTTCGCGGAGATTGTGTGCCCGGCCGCAGCCAGCCCAGGCACCCCTGGCTGCCTTGCTGCAGACTCGTATGTCTCTCTCCCATGAAACCCAAATTTCTCCAGTTGGATCTGAAATTTGCTCCATTGTTCTCGCCTCCCTCCTTTGTTAATATTTAATTAACATAGTGGCTCACAATGGGGCCGCGAGGAGCCTCAGCCTCGCTGGCTTTGTGCGCCCAGGAGCAGCCCGCCAAACCCAGCCCCAAGGAGCCTGGTAGCGGGTCTTCCGGGACTTAAAACAACAAACCCTGTGAGATCACGTTCGTGTTCCTGGGGTTTCAGGAAAGAGCGAGGCAGAGTTTTCTTGCTGAGGTTTGGTTCTGTTTCCGAAACTCCTACGTGTTTCGTTTTGAAAGAAAATCCAGGAAGAAAGGGAACTAAAAATTCTGCTTTTGGAGAGATTTTCTTTCCGTAAACTAGTGTGTGTGTGTGTGGGGGGGGGCTGTTCTATGTCTGCAGGAACCCCGGCAGCAGAGGAGTTTGGGGGGTAAGTGTGCTGCTTCTGGGGCGAAGGGGGGAGTGGAGACTGAACCGGCTCCTGGAACCAGAGGCAGGTGCAGGCGCCTGGTCCTGTCGGCCTCACGGAGCCACCCCTGCCCCTTCCTGAGGCCGGAGCCTGGCCGGCCGCCCCAATCTGCACCGTGGGGATCAAGGCCAGGCCTGGGCTTTGGTGCTGGTGCCCTCCACTGTGCGTGGATGGCGACTGGGGCGAGAGCGGGAGTGTGGGCCGGGAGTTTGAGCCCTACAGCCTCTGGCCACCCCTCTCTGGTGCCCACGGCCCCTCTATGGGAGTCTACCTCCCCAGAGAGAGAGCTTGGCTGGGTCAGCCTCCACACCCACTGGGTCCCCAGACCATCCCCAGCCCTGGGCTCAGCACAGCCCTGGAGCTGTGGACCCCCACCCCCAGGTCCTGGTGGGGGGGTGTGCAGCCTGCAGGGTGGGCTGGGAACTGGGTGGGGACCTGGGGTTCTGGCTGCCCAAGGTCTAGTCTCCGGCCACAGGCACCTTTGTAGACGTTGAGGTGGGGAGCGCCCCAAAGCTGATTCACTCACTTCACAGATGGAGACCCAGGGGTGCAACCCCGCACCCCCAGCAGCCTCCACATCTCTCACACACCCTCTCCAGCGGAGTGAGCTTGACCAACAAAAAGAAAATGCTTCCCTCTGCATTGCTGGGCCTTTGCAGATGGCGGGGTCCTGGGAGCCTTACCCCACTTTACAAGTGAGGGGAAGGTCCTAGCCTGAGGAGGCTTCAGTGGGGGCTCCGGCAAGGGGGCGGGGCGGGCAGCTGGGGTCAGCTTCCAGGCCCTCACTCCTGTGCTGGGGGACCACGGAGACTTGGTGGGGGTGCAGGGGGAGCTTGGATTGGCAGGGCTGCTTTTCCACCCGGCAGACCCTTGTGCTCCTGCTCTTAAAGGAACAATAAACTTGGGCCCACAGGGCCAGTGGGGGGTGGGGTGGAGGCAGATATCGGCCCCTGCCACCCCGTTCTCAGGACCCTCAGCCCTCGGCACCCTGTGGGTGTCCCCTGTGAGGTTCCTGTGGGAGCCCCTCCACAGACCCCAGAGCTTTTCCTGCTACTCTGTACCCCCCATTCTTTCCTCTGTCTCTAGCCCAGCACCTATGCCTACCCGTCTACTCCTGGACAGAGCCTCAGGAAGGGCTAGGAAGGCCAGGCCAGGCGTTGTAGGGGCTGCTTTCCTCCAGGACTTGCCCTTTTATCTGGTGACTTCTCCACGCAGTCTGCCCTGCGCCCCACTCCACCCTCACTAGGCTTCGCTGGCCCAGAGCCTTCTTTCCGGGGGTTGGGACCTGATGGTGGTTGCCAGCCCGTGCCCAGTCCCCCTAAATCCAGCCCAGAGACCTTGGTCGCCACCCTCCGCAGCCTGCGCTGGTGGAGTGACCTTCCTCTGAGCCGGCAGGCAGGTCTGCAGCCCCTGACCAGCACTCTCTCTCCACACTTCCCCAGGCCCCAGGTCTCGAAAACCAAAGAAGAAGAACCCCAACAAAGAGGACAAGCGGCCACGCACAGCCTTCACCGCGGAGCAGCTGCAGAGGCTCAAGGCCGAGTTTCAGACCAACAGGTACCTGACTGAGCAGCGGCGCCAGAGCCTAGCCCAGGAGCTGGGCCTCAATGAGTCGCAGATCAAGATCTGGTTCCAGAACAAGCGCGCCAAGATCAAGAAGGCCACGGGCAACAAGAACACGCTGGCGGTGCACCTGATGGCGCAGGGCCTGTACAACCACTCCACCGCGGCCAAGGAGGGCAAGTCCGACAGCGAGTAGGCCGTCTTCTCCCTGCGTGTCTCTGTGCGCGAAACAATGCAATAATTTAAAGTTATCAAAAAGGGCAAGTGTACAAAAATTATACCAGCATTCCTAGTGGGAAGATCGTGTGTTAGCTATGGTTCTGCAATATTCTATGTGTATATAATTTACAGGTGATGTAAAATCCAAAATATCTGACTATAAAATATTTTTTTTATTTTTGTGTGTTTATGAGATTATGCTAATTTTATGATTTTATTTTTTTTCGAAAGGGGGCTGCTTAGGGTTTCATCTTTTTTTTTAATCCCCTAAGTTCCATGTGGGACATGGGACGCTTTTTTAATTTCAAAAGAAGAAAAATTAAAACAACTTGCTGAAGTCCAAAGATTTTTATTGCTGCATTTCACACAACTGTGAACCGAATAAATAGCTCCTACTTGGTCTATGAGTTCTGCCACTTTGTTTGTATGGTTGTGCCATGGGCAACAGGAGGGGCCGCTCCTGCCTCAGCCTGGCCTGGCAGGGCCCTGGTGGGGATGGGGCTGCAGGGTCCTTGGAGGAGCAGGGCCCTCTCCGGGGAGAGTGGCCGTGCCTATTGCCAGGGCCTGTGCTAGGCAGCGGCCCACAGTGGTTCTCAGCCTCCCCACAAGCCGCTCCATCCCTCCTCCTGCCTTCTCTCCCGCCCCCTCCCGCACCAGGCCCGTGAGTGCTAGTCTGCATCTGTATTTGTGTTGCTGTCCCCTGTCCCTCCGCCCACAGCTGGCGCCAACTCTGCGGCCTCAGCGCCAGGGCTTCGAGCAGAAGGGTGACCCTCCTCCCTCCAGCCCAGGCTCAGGCCTCTCCTGCTGCTCCTCCAGCCCCTCAGAAGCCCGTCAGGCCCCAGAAGTGGCGGAGAAGGCTCCTGACAGAGGTGGCCTCTCCTTGCTTTTTTGTTTTGTTTTGTTTTCTGCCCTTCCTTTTTTTGTAAGTGGTCACTTCTGCTACAGAGAGCGTTCGAGGTGTGTACATATGTATGTAGGTGTGTACACAGACAGGTGTATGTGAGCCCCCAGTTCTGGGACACATGGCTACCTTGACTTTTAAAGGTTCTCTGAGTCCTCAGGGATCCAGAGGAAGGACAAACGTGTAAATAACGATTTCTTACCACTTTCTGTCTTTTGTTTTTAAATATACATTTTATTTTTTGAAGGTGTGGTACAGTGTAAATTAAATATATTCCATATATCCTCACCGAGTACATATATATATATAAACAAACACATTATCTTTCTATATAACGCCACACTGTCTTCTGTTTAGTGCACAGAAAAGAACCACGTCCAAATGTTCCCGCAGCCGGGACGCAGGGTGCCCTGGCCACACAGGCCTTGCGGGCCCTGAGGATGGAGGGTGACTTTCTCTCTTTGCCTTAAACCTCTTTATTTTACGTTGACAACACTTCCACTCTGTACATAGTAGCGTAAACCTTTTTCAAAAGGAACTATAAAATCAAAAAGTTGTAATTTAACATTCTGTGAATAACCATCTGCTGCTTAGGAAACGCAATGAAATGATATGCCTTTTTCGCAGGAAGCAAAGTTTTTCTTTTTTTTTTTTTAGTTTGTAAAATGTGCATTTTACAGTTCCAGTATCAAATATTTATAATCTTATGAGAAATGAATGTTTCTGAATGTTTCTATCTCCAACTGTGGTTATCAAAATTGTGAACATTCCCTCTGCATTTTTGTGTGTTTAAAATCTTGAAAGTTACATTAAATAAAAATAACCCCAATTTATTGTAAAATATTGGCTGTCCAAGGTGGAATGACTAGTTTTCCTCAGTGTGTTTCTGAGGCCAGGCGACTCCGGGCCTCTCCCCACTGCCGGGCGCTGGTGTCTCTTTTTAAAATTAAGAAGACACTTTGGATATTTTCTATGTGAGCACAGAAAATATCAAAGTAATTTAGGTTCACATCTCTTGACCAGAAGGAAGTGTTCAAAAGCATGGAGCTATTCCATTGAATAAATACAACCCTACAGAAGGCAACAGGTAATCCCCCCAACTCCCCCACCCGGCAGGGATTCTTCCTACTCAGCCAGCCGACAGAGGCGCTCCTCTTTTACCTTTTGTTGTTGCTTTTACCCCAAAAGTACAGGGTGAGGAAAACAACATCCCAAGTATATTCGGGAAAGCACCGGCCTTTCGGAGCTGACGAGGCCCCTGGGCCAGCAGGAAGCGGCGGGGATCTACCTCCAGGAGCCACGCTTGCGTCTGGAGCGCCAGTTGCTCCATTGCCAAACTTTCTTGGCTGGAAAAAAAGTTTTCTTCTCCCAGTAAAAGAAACTCAGAGACTACTCAGAGGATCATGTTGCCAAAGGGAATCTTCCAGGCTGTTCATTCCACACCGACGGCTTCCCGAGGACCCTGGGCCTGGGGCAGGGCTGGATGCTCCCTGGATTTGCAAAGACGGGCTTCGTGAGGAGGCCCCAGAGCACCAGGAGGGCCCCAGGGTCTTGGACAATAGGACGCCATACCCAGTGTCGCCCTCCTCCCCCACCCCGCTTTTGCACAGCTCTGGGTTCCCAGATTAAAAACAAAAGCCCACCAGCACAACTATTCCCCTATTGGGCTCTCTTTTAAATAAAAGGACAGTATAACAACATTAAACAACCATTTTGATTTTTAATCTGCAAATCGTAACACGATTACGGGCAAGGTACGGTTTTGTAAGATAATGAGATCCCCGTCCCCAGAGGCATGCAAGCAGATACCAGGTCTACAGTGGTAAAGGGAAATTTTCCTTTATTTCCTTTTTCTCTCCGGGAGGGGATGTAACCGAATGAGACGTCAGACCCTCGGAACGCTGAGGCTACTTTCGCTTCTGTTACTACATTTGTAAAATCTACAGCTACGCTCTAACTCCTGGAGAGGCCCTGTGCCCAGCCAGCCGCTCTCACGCTCTCGCGAGGAGGGATGGAGACCCGAGCGAGGCCTGCAGGAAGGCGGGGCTCCTCCCTGAAGCCCGGCTGCCCGCTACCCGCCCCCCCCCCCCCCCCCCGGGGTCCCACCTTGGATTTGTGAAATAGGAACTGAGCCGCCCCGCCCGCTGACTTGGGTTACCGTCCCGCTCCTCACAACCCTCCTCCCTATTTTCGCCTATTGACAGAATTTATATTTTCCGTTATATTTTTTTTATTTATCCAATCTGTTGAAGGGCTCTGGGTTTGCCCCCGTAACCGCCAGACCTCCCCTGGGGCCGGGGGAAGATCGTTTTTT